ATCATTATTATCATTATTATTATTATCATTATTATTATTATTACTACTATTGTTATTATTATTATCGTTATCATTATTATCATTATTATTGTCACTATTATTATTATTATTAATTATTATTACTACTGCTATTATTATTATTGTCACTATTATTATTATTGTTATTAATCATTAATTACTAGCCACCAATTACTAGCTGCTTATTATTATTTACCATTATCATCGTAATTAATCAATTATTCATTTATTTACTATCATACTATCATAATTACTATTACTGTTACCACTACTATTACTATTATTATTGCTATTATTGTCATTATCATCATTATTATGTTGATGAATAATGCTGAAATCATACAAAATTTCATAAATCTATGATGGAAAATTATTGCTAAAAGTTTCTAATAAAAAAAAGATATGTTGTAAAAAGTTTATAAACTTAATTTTTGTGATCAAAAAACTTAATCATAAAAAACCAGAAGAGAAAAAAAAATTCGACGGATATAAGACAAATGTGAAGGAGAAATAGCGAAAAAAAACTGGTAATTGTCGATTACAAACTTTTATTTCCCTAAATTTCCTCTCTTTTTTCCTAGCAATTGATGAACCCAAATAAACTTAATCATCCAAAATTTCTAATTTAACATATTTGTAATCCCATTAAAGCCTTTTTCTTTTTCAATTTAATCAAAAATAATTTTTCCAATTAGCAAATGTTAAATGTTTAACTGAAGAAAATTCCAACAAAATAATTAATTAATCAAAGCAAATATGCTGAATTTATTCATATACACCTCATTTTTATGCTCTGTACTCTTTAGTCAACATAAGCTTAGCTCTTTCCTTCCTTTTTCTTTTTTTTTTTCTTTCAAATTACTTTTTATCTTCTTTTTCTTCAAATCTTCCAATTTTAGGAAATGAAACTTGAAATATTACACAAAACGAAATGGGATAAAGAAAGCTAACTAAAAACCTTCCGATAAAATAATGAAAGGAAAAGAAAAAAAAAAAAAAGCAAATGAAGGGATGATGAGAAACCAAACACCACGGGAATGGTTCAAAATGTTTGGGTATGATAGGTGTAAATTAAATAAAATTTTAATATTACTTTAGTACTGATTAATGCATCTGAGATTGAAATTTTAATCTTTCTTCAAGCCTAAACATATATATGTACATATGTAATATATACATATGTACATATATATGTATATATATATCCATGGGAACAGTCCAAATATAAACGTATTACAGGAACAATTAAATTAAAAATGAAATTTTAGGTACGAATTTTAGTACGAACTGAGGATACGTGTGAATAGTAAAAATAAATTGAATAAAAATTTATGTAAATGAATTTGTACATATCTTTTACATGTGGAAATGAAATAATTTTAATGCTAAGAAATAGCAAATAGCGGACAATTCGAAATAAAATTCAAAATTTAAATGATAAAAAAGAAAAAGGAACTGTATGCTAAATCTCATATGGGAAAGTTTTGGAAAAAGAAAAAGAAAAAAAAAGTTGTTGATTTAAAAATCAAATGATTTTTCCGTTTTTTATCCTCCAATCATTCTGGTATTTAATTAAATTAAACAAATAACATCGAGTAAAATATTCGATTAACATTTATAGAATCCAAAAAAAAAAAAAAAAAGAAAAAAGAAATATGTTGAAATTTCAACGCTTTAAAAAGTAATTAGATTGTGTGAAAATGATCTAAGAAAAAGAAAGAAAATTGCAAATTTTCGAATAAAAGATGAAAAAAGATTGTAACTCTATGCTAATTTTCATCAATCAATAATTCCAAATGTAACATTATCAGAAATTTTCCTAATTAAAAAAGCTCAAAGATAAAATGATCATTAATAACCTTTCCCCAAATATTTTCCTTTTTGAAAAGAAAAAAAAAAAATTCAATTAAAAAAAAAGCATTAGTTACAATAAAGAGAGAGGAAAAGAAAAAACTTACAAATTCTTTTAATACATCTACGATTCGATGCCTTGTTCGGGCTCCGGTAAAATGTACTTTATCCTGACCAGGTCGATCGATTACCGTTACTCGTTTGGTGTGCTCATTGTTTGATAATAAACGTTTCCTATCCGCCATTTTCTGAAAAAATAAAAAAAAAACAAAAAGAAAGGAAGAAAAAGAGAAATTTTTTTAGTCTAATTTCATTGCTGTAGTTTATCACTTCATGCTATATTCGAATAATTCCATTATTATTATTATTGATTATCACTTCATGCTATCTTAGAATAACTTCATTGTTGTTTGATTATCACTTCATGTTATTTTAGGCCAATTTCATTATTCCTAACTATCACTTCATCCTATCTTAGGATAATTTTGTTGTTATTTGAATTATCATTTCATGCTATCTAATCTTCTTTTTTTTTTTCTTGTTTAATTCAAACTTTTACATAATCTCATCCATACGATAATTTATGGTATCCAATTAATGGAATTATTTCGCTAATGTTTAATTCCATTTTATCCATATTAAACATCACACTTTTCCAACGCTACAACTACTTAACTATCATCATTCCTTTCAATAATAAACTGACTCATTTGATGTTTTAATTTCCCAATATATCATATCTCTATATCATTGTGATAATACAAAAAGATACCCTTTA